TTAGCTTATGAGTAATATTTAGCATTACAAGAAACTGCCTGGTCTGAAGTTCATATACTGGTAAGGTGTTCATTCTATCTGACCTATATCTGACCAAAGAAAAAGAAAACAAATTATAATCTTAAGCCTTTACCTAAAGCATCATAGGAAAAAAAAAAAGTGGTTAAAATGAAAATAAACTAGGAGACTGACCACTTCGCATTTCCCCAATTTGGTCATACTTACAGCAACACCTGCACAAAATAACCTTCTATATTATATTGAGCTCCTTTTACTGCTAAAAATATTCAATGAATATATTTGATTATACGTACACACACAAACGCAATACAATGCATTGTTAAATTTTTTACCCATATATCTAATAGTGAAATCATTAAGCTCTTTAGCCTTAACTTGAAAAGTAACAAATTTCCACTCCTTTTATCTTTTTCTTTTTTATTGTGTTGGGTTGGTCAATAAGACACAGGTGATTTTGACTTCATAGAAAGAGATGGTATTTTAGTTTTGATCTAGGATGCCCCCATCCACACAGCCAAATAGGTTTAGAGTTGGGGCTTGTGAGGCTTTCAAAAAGTGACTGGGTCGTGGGATTGCCATATTCTATGGTAGACTGATGCATTGATGGATTCATAGGTGAATGTGCTATTAGGAAGTGGGGCCTGTTTGAGAGAGGGACATTACTAGAGGTGTGCCTTTGGGGACTGTGTCTTCCTCCCTGGCTCCTCCATCTTTCTTTGTTTTCTGGCTGCCATGAGGTGAGCAGCTTGCACCATGTTCTGCCATCATATTTTTACCTTGGAGCCATTAAGCCACAAACTGAATCCCCAGAACTGTGACCTAAATAAAGCTCCTCCTCCATTTAAATTGTGGGTGTTGTGTACTTTGCCTCAGTAAATAGAAAAGCTGACTAATACACATAGCATGATATTTGCATCTGTCTAATGACAAATCAGAGTATACTTATTGTCTCATTGATAATTGGTTTATAAAAATACAAAGGAGATCCCAATATATACTTTCTGTCACCTTCTTGTGGAGTTGTTCCTGGATGACTACTATTTTGGCTGATAGACAGTTGTGCTAATCTTTATATTTCTAGCACTTTGCCCTTTTGGTGCATTCTCGCTTCTAACTGGTGTTGTGAATCTCCATTACCTACAGATCTTAAATTGCCACCAGAAGTGCAGAAATCTTTAAGGCACAATTGCTGAGTGTAAGAATCCTCCATTATGTCCCCCTTTGGTACCACAGCCTGTGAAAATAGTTGTATATTTCTCCATTTGCATTTATTTGGTAATTTAAAAAAAAATCTTCCTTAGCTTCACACTTCAGCAGATGAGCTTTCCCTAAAAGCAGATCCTGAGAAGCAATTCATGTCCAGAAGTTTTATTGGAGAATGTTCTCAGGCAAAACATCTATGAGGAGAGGAAAGGAAAAAAAGCAGTATATTGCAGAAAGAGAAGCTTGGCTACCAAGCAAGTATCACAGTATCACTACATCAACTGGCCCACCCTCCCTTGTCCAGAGGAGCTAGAGCAGCCCTTTAGAACTGTCTTGGTTGGAGCAGAGGAGCCAGAATTTTATGACCCACACATCAGGCATTGACCACTCAATGGGCGCAGTCTGTCACAAGGACAAAAGGGTTAGGCAGCTCTCTTTAGCTGTTCTGAAATAGGGCTGGCAGCTGAGGACTGTTAGCCAGCAGCTAGGGCAAGAAGTAATTCAGTTCTGAAGAGAAACCTGAGCCGCTCAGCTTAGCATCCATTCAAAATTTGATTCCCAGCAGCAGTGATTCTCAAATTTAACCTATGTTAGAAATACCTGCAAGGTATTTGTGGACTCCACCTACAGTTTCTGATTTAGTAGCTCTATCCTGAGCCCTGAGAAACTGCATTTCTAATAGCTCTTCACGAAGTCTGGTACTGTTGATCTAAGGACTGTACTTTGAGAACCACTATTCTACATTGCCTTTATGTATATACTGAGAAAGATACAGGGTTCTGTTACGAATAAAATAAAAACCATTTCAAATCACCATACCACTCCTTACTCCATCACATTTTCAGCTTGCTGTATGTATTATAAAGCTAGAAATGCTGATGACTAAGCTCTGTTATATAAAAGCTACTTAAACAGTACAATATTCTATTTCTAAGGTATTATTACCACTTCTAATATGTGATTATTATTACTTTTAAAATCCAATCAAATTTTGCCAATGTCTATCGTCAGATAAGTTGGACAAAGGAATTTAAAAAATAATGGTCACACTTTTTAGTTTTATTCTAAGCCATTCTTTTATTTCATAGTCTCATTTTTGTATTTTTTATCATGTAAGCCACTCAAAGCCATATGGTTAAGGAAAATTAAAAACTATGGGCTATATTTAGAGCCATTTTGAAAGCACAAACATGGAAATTAAGTATCCTTGACTCATTTCTAGTCTAGACTTGGCACAGTTATAATTTAGTACTTCAGAGTACATGTATTGAACCCAGGAGAAAGTTTGTAGTTTTTAAAATCCCAAACACAAAGGCAACAACAGTCTCACCTATGATCCAAAAAGATTGTAAAAGAGCTCATTTGAAGAGATTTTCTGCTGTTACTGCCATTAGATTTTTCTAAAGTGTTTCCTAAATTAGAAAATATCCAGCGTGATGTTGTCAATATTTCAACCACAAGGGTATCATTTAGGAAAATGGTGCCTTACTGTCCTAAAAGAGTTATGCTTCTTCCCTAAGGGTGTAATTTACAAAGCGGTAAATTCACTGGTCAGATTTGGCTGGAAATCTCATTGTCTGGGTAGAACCCTCTCATTTTATTTATGTGCATTGTGCTTTGCAAATAACTCTGTAAAAATTGTTTACTAGTTACTTTCTCTGGAAACGGAGGGTAAGCAGTGTTTCTAGATTAAGGACAGAGGAGCTAAGAACCATGAAGCCTAGCTCATTATGAAGATAATAAAATGCATACTATCTGATGTTCTGTCTCACGGTCATGGGACAGTTTCATATTATCCTCTTACTTTGTTTGAAATTGGAATGTATTAGAAAATATGTTAGTGTCTAACCTGGCTGTCTTCTGCAATGTGATAGCTTACTTCTCTCCCAAATTTTGGGCTGGAGATGAAGTAAGTCATTGCAAACTGGATGAAATTGTCTCTCTGGCAGGTCAAGAATGGTCAATCAGCAACAGTGACACAGGGTTCCACCTGTATGTCCCAGGCCTAGTTGTAACAGTATTTTAGAGCTATGACAATGTTTTGCAATTTTGAAATCCTGCTAAATAGATGATGATTTTGATATCTCTCCTTGTACTGACAGTTTACCTACTAGATAACAGCTGGAAGCCCAGGTTAGCCCTCAAGCTCTATGAAGTTTAACTTCTTTGCCCAACCAGAAAATGATGCCTTTCAGCTGTACGATATTAACTTTTATTTAGGAGTTGATAAATCGCTTAGTGCAATGCCTACTTTTTTCCAATAGCTGGATCCTAATAAACCTATTGTAGTCTCCACCAGTTAATGCAGACAGAAGATTTTTATCTAGAATGAGTACAGCAACTACACTGTGGAAGACTGTATACTCAGCAAAAGCCTCACCCATGATGAATAAACAGCGCTTCCGGGGGCTTTGCTGCCGCTGGGTTGGCAGGAGTTGTTTATTGCCTGGTTTGCACATCCCATGATAAAGCTGCTTCTGAAATAAATTGCAGTTTTGCGTAATTATTGACAATCACATCTTAACAAGCAGTGTGTATCATATTTAAGTGTTCAATTTTTTAAAATCCATTTTTAGCTTATGTTTAATCCCAGAAAGTGTTTGTGTGGTTGTAGAAGGCAAATAAGGCATTTAAATAGAGTACTAATTTCCTCATTGCAGACAAAATTTACCTGACTCTTTTTAGATGAGACTGTTACTGCCTAAGGCAATTTTCCCTCCTGAGCTATTGTTATGTAGATGTTTGCAGAAGTTATATGTGTATATCCACAATACATGCATTTGAATATATAGGCTGTATTTATATATAACATATATATTTATAACCAGAAAATAGGAGTTTCTAAAGATTTTTGTGTCACTGGGGAATTTGTTTTATCCTTCTAAAAGAGTTTTGAGAAACTATAATGTTTGAGTAACTGTAACTTCAAGGAGCTCAACTTTACCTGTGTCCATTATATTTGATTCCCATCACAGCAATATCTACTGCAGATGAGGAAATGAGAAATCATAGAGGTTTGTAACTTGTCATGTAACATAACTGGCAAGGGACAGTAGGAATTGAAACCCAGCTCCATTTTTTTCCATTACACATAGCATTTTTCTTTTGGATAATAGCCTCAGCTCCATGACTGTCAGATATTGAAATATGAACCTAACTCAAAAGTTATAACATCATGCAAAAATGATGTTGTATGCAGTGGTTTCTATGAAATGTTATTTTTCTTACTGTTAGTCATTTTCTCCCTTGTCCTCCAATTCCTCCCCTCTATTTTTCCCCTCTGATATTCACCTTCCAACTATCAGTTTGTAGCTTCTTGACTTTTCTCGTTGCTTATGTAATCCTGTCTTCCTGCCTCAGGGTAACATCAAAGATAGGCCTCCTGAGGGATTTTAGGGTTTCCCTACAAACATTAGTTTCAACTTTTGTTGTATATTACAATAAGTTTTCAGAATTGACCAGCACAATCTACAAAATTTTAAAAAGATACTTTTGAATTTCTATATATGATTTACAAATGTCTAAAGTTTTGTGTTTTGTGATACCATTTATATAGAGAGGATTTATAGAAATCTGTGCTTATCACTCATTGTTAATATTCTTGCATCCCTTCCTAGAAGCCTTTTGAGTTAAATAGAAATGAAAGCAAATGGAAAGCATGGTATTCTAGTTGCTGTTTAAAAGAAGAGCTGTAGCAAAACCCATCTTGGCTGAAGTTCACTAGGTGAACCATTCTGATGTTTGAGGATTGCATCTGACTATTTGTCTCCTTGCAGAGTGAATGAGAGAGAGGCTGCACTGGAAGAAACTCATAGATTACTGAAACAGTTCCCCCTGGACCTGGAGAAGTTTCTGGCCTGGCTGACAGAAGCTGAAACAACTGCCAATGTCCTACAGGATGCTACCCATAAGGAGAGGCTGCTAGAAGACTCCAAGGGAGTCAGAGAGCTGATGAAACAGTGGCAAGTAAGTGAAGCCTTTCACTTTAGCACTCTTGTGAATCCAGTTTAAAAAATTTTAGCATTTGCACTTGTAATTGATAAGGTGGGCAGAAAATAGCCTAGTCATTTTACAGGCTGATATATTTCAGCATTTGGGCAAGGAGGTGAGAGGCAGAGGAAGAGGAAGATTCATTTGTGTTTTTATTTCCTACCTTGATCTTCTGCACAGTGCATATTTTTGACTCACAGAGAGAAACAAAACATAGCACTTGCATATAAGATCAGACCTTTGATCGAGCAGAAACTTGATTTACACCAAAAAATAAGTTTAGAGATTGCTTTATTAAATTGAAAAGGTTGCCATTTTGAGTGTTTATTTAATATTTTACAGAGAAAGCATCTGTATGAATTTTCTGTTTTATTTAGCGTTGCTAACTGAATCAGTTTCTCTTCATTACTTTCAAATATGTTTTGAAATGTTAATCTGGCATTCCGTAGTTTCTTCCAAACACGATCTGTGTAAATAAAAATGAGATGGCTAAATTTGTCATACTTAATGATCATACAATTTTCAGACAATTGTTTTTCCTAGAAACAAAAAATTATTGCTATAAAGTTCCATATGCATAAACTGAAAAATGAACTTTAAGATAGTCTTTTTAAAATGAAGTCTTGGTGAAAATCATATTCTGCAGTTAAAAGAGGCTCCTAAAGTTTACACCTCCATAACTGATATAATTTTCTTGAGCTATTATGGGATTTGGTTATGTGTAGTTGATTTTTTGATGTGATAGAAGAACTTTACTAGCATGGCAAATACAATTTGATATGTTAGAATAATAAGATGAATTTTCGAATTAATGTTATTCTTTTCACATTTTTAAATCATTGTGAAGAAAGTGATAGTATATCCCAGGTTGAAAAATAATTCCAAAATCGAATTACAGCGTGCAAAGTTTCTTTCTCTCTGTTTCTTGTGGCTTCCCTCACCTTCTGCTTTGTTTGGTTTTGATATATTGTGTGTACTTTGCTGTTTTCCTGCATAGAGTAGATGACACTGGCAATTTATAGAGTGTTCTTGCTTTATCAACCTGTTCTGACCCTACTTGCTCCTCCACAATGTGAGTTAATGTTACATTTATTTGATCCTTTGGAGGTAATTTATTTAAAACATTACCTGACTTAAGTTTTGCAGATATCTCCCGTGGTGGCTTGTACTAGTATGTAAAAGTAATGCAAATTTAGATTATTTTTTTTGCTCACTCTTAGATGAATAGTTAGATGATATACTGCTTTAACATTGGCTTATGCTACTTAATAAATACAATTTTACTTTATCTTATAAATGTTCATACAGCTACCCTAGAATTCTAATAAATACATAGGTTTCCATTTTCCCCATAGCTATGGTCAATAAATAACACAACTTTGATCAAGTAGATTTTTAGCAGATTACTTTGAAAATAATTAAAACATAATTACTGAAAAATAAGTTAATGTTAGGAACTTAATAAAATTTATCTTAAAATAGTGAAGACATGGTCGAGGGCAATGGTGTATCTATTATGTCATACATTTTGTACTTATCTATAGTAGTATACAATAAAAATTCATATATAGACTCTTCAGCAAGACAAACTGTAAGATTCTAAATCATTAAAAGAAAATTTTGCCATGTTCCTAACTATATTTACTGTGGATAAATGGAGAATAAGCTTTATTTTATATTTAGATTTCCTATCTCTCCTTCAAAAACAATTGGACATTTGCTGAGAAAATGTTTAGTTTATGCCATATTACTAAAAAAGTTTGTATTTATTTTTCTTGATTGCTTAACCAAACCAAAATTTGTTTTTAGCTCACATAAAGTACTGTGTTGAACAGGCCACCTTTTTTCCATTTTTAAGCTATATTGCAGTTTACACATAATATTCCTGATACGTATGAGAAAAAAAAAAGAGTTTGGAAATAAGGCAGGGCCTTTTGTATGCTTTAACGTCAAAGTGGTTAGCTGTATTTATTCTTAAAAGTCTCATAAAACTCCCTGAGAGTTTCTCAAAACCTTGATATATCATTTTCGCTTTTACTATAGTAGGATTAACTGAAATTCCAAACTTAGGTTTAAACAGAGACAATTTTCCCTTCTCTCTCAGCTGTTACTGCATTGTCTATGCATTCTAGTTGCCTAAGGTTTAAATTTTATGAATAAAAGTGACATTTACAGTCAATTTTGAATTTTTAATTAGATTGTTGAATAATGTGTTTTGATGAAAGATTTGGAGATGCCACGGTAAAAACTGTAAACTACTAAAAGTATTGATTATAGCTTATGACATATTTCAACCAATATAGCTGCGTCAAGAAGCTGGGGTCAATGAATAACAAATGAAAATGTCAAGCTTGAAAGTAAATAAAACAACATACTTTAGAGGATTGTACGGAATTTCAGGATTTTAATTTCAGCTTAATGAAAATGTTTGGTTTTTTATTCCTTCTTAGTATGAATTTTTACTTTGAACAAAATCAATTTTCTTTACTACATCTGAAAGAAAGAAATGACATGGTATGCCATTTTGACTCATTAGAAGAATCTGATAGCATTGTATTCATTAATGCATGCTTTATAACAAGCATAGTTCTCATATACAAAAGAAGAAAATTGGGATGGTATGTACCTATAGTCCCACTACTTGGAAGGCTGAGGTGGGAACATGGTTTCAGGCTAAGAGTTTGTGGCCAGCCTGGGCAGTACAGCAAGTCTCCATCTCAAAATAAATTTAAATATTTTTTAAAAAGAACAGATAGGAAAAGAATGGAGAAGAAGGAAAAGAAAAGAGAAAAGATAACAACAAAACAGAAGAGAACCTGCAGGAAATTTCAAATGCTTGGCCAAAGAAGCTACTTTCTTGATAGATTTCAATATATCTATCTACCCCAAACAATGAAGTTTTACTTCATATCAGTGTTACTGTGTGGAAAGATGGAAAACATCACTACAAAATGTGTTTTTCTCTGTAACTGTCAATCAGTTGTTCTATATATGGAGACTTTGGCTCTTACTTCATGACTATCACTTTTGTTTATCAACCACTTCACTGGATATTTAATTCTCCCTGAAACAATTATAATTCATGGGGTCTATAAGCATATAAAAATTATGAAGATATTCTATTCAGAATTAACCTGGTAAATCCCACTCATATGCACACGAGAATTTCCTTGTATATTGCAAAAAAGGATTTTTCATTTTCCTTATTAAAATCCAGGAAACATATAGTTGTCCATTTACCTCAAGTTGGAAGGTTTTTCTTATGCATATTGTTACTTCTGATAGTCTAACTAGAATTTGTAAACAAATGTACTCTTATATAACACCATATATATAGGTTCTAGTTTGAGAATTTTTAAATTGTAAATTTATCCTTTAAATTAAGGACTATATTCATAATTGAATCGAACTCTTGTCCCATCTAAAAACATTTCTTCTTTGGGCTCATAGAGTTGAGAAAGATGTTCATGGTTCAAAGTTCTAACATAAAATCCCCAGTAACTAAGTGCAAATAGGATGACTTTGCATCTTTGTAAATATTTCACAACAATTTCACAAATGTTAACAGGTTCTCCAAGTACCACAGAGAAGTTGTTGTAGAACTAGCATATAAAGATGGGGTGAGGGTGTGGGCATGTGGTTGGGAAACAGGATCATAAAGTGGTGTGATTAAAATCATTTGGTCAGCAAGAACTACGGAGCAATTAATACTGCAGATTCCTCTATCTATGACCTAGGTGATGGCTCAGGGTATGCCTTTCAATTCACTGTCTTTATTACTATCATATGTTTTAATTCTGCCTTCCCTCAACTCCCCCTCCCCATGATAGAAATACATTCCTATTAGTAAAATATTCCCAAAGTTGTGGGACGAGAAGTGAAGAATGCTATCTATTTAAAGGTGTGTGTAATACAGGTGAAAATATTTCATTCCTTTTAAGCGGTTATGAATTTTAAAGTTTAGAGATAGATACAGACGTACAAAACTGAAGAACATCAACATGGAAACTATAGAATTAGATGCAACCACACACAAATTGATGTCATTGTTACTTGAAGTCCTTGATTTTCCACTCAGCAATATACCTGTTATGGTTTGTATCTAGATTCACTCCCCACAAAGCCTCATGTGGTCATAGGTGAGATTTTGAAAGTGACTAGATCTAGAATGTGTGGTGCTTGGAGTAAGTGTGTGATGCTGGGGTTAAGAATGCCTCGCCTTTGTGGCCTGGGTGGAATATAAGGGGCAAAGAGAGAGCTGCTGCCACTGCTTGCTGCCTACCCTGCGTGCCGTGACCTGTTTATCCTCTACAATGTCATTCTGCCATGTCCTGCCTTGGAGCCAGCCAACTGTGAACTGAAACCTCTAGACACTGTGAGCTACTTTAACTTTGAATGTTGGGTACTTTAGCACCTAAGTGTCACCAAAATATGACTGTTACACAGAATCGGTACTAAGAAAGACTGTCTTTTATGGTATATAAAATGACACAGCCACAGAACTCCTCTTAATGTTTAACATGAAAAAATGATAAAGAAATACCACAACTTTGATGTAAAAACTCATACCATGAAAAAAGTAAGAGTATTTAAATAATGTATCCATCTTGAAAAACTCTTTTCAATAATGACTGTCAGAGCTGAGTATGAGGGCCTGTGTGCTTGCAATCCCAGCACTCCGGGAGGTTGAGGCAGGAAGATCACAAGTTTGAGTTTGGCCTTGGCAGTGTAGCAACTGATAAAGACTCAGTCTCAAAATCAAAAAAGGATTAGAAGTTAGCCCTTACTGAAGGCTGTATTCCTCGAGAACAGACTCTCAAGCCACATTTTTACTATATTGTATTGCTTTAGATACTGACTTTGCCATAGATTTCATGGGGAAACCAAAAGGAAATTGTGAAAATAATTTAAAGATTAGAAAAAGTAGTCAATGGGTCAAATGTTAAGCACTGGTGCTTTATCTCTCATAGAAAGAA